AATGGAAATCCAAAGCCTCTGTAAATTTTCACTGAAATTAATAACAAATTTAAGTTAAAAAAAAAAGAATTAAGTTAGAGTAAGGATGGCAATGGAACCACCTTACCTCTGTAAAAAAAAAAAAAGACAAGTTTCAAATGTTACTTAACTGATTTTGAAGGAAGTTAAGAATAGTCCAATGTGATGTGTTAAAACTGCATTGAATAAGGATGTATATAAGGTGGCATGGGTATTACAAACCACTCTAACTAAAATTTTATCTTCCTCTAGTTATATGACTGTTTAGGAGAAAACAAAACAGGGAGGCAAAGGGCCATGAGTGTCTCTCTGAAAGGGCCAGAGGGAGTAAGGATAGTGTAGCCCCTTGATACCCTGGAACAGAAAGCAGATAAAGAGCTTGTAGCCCATCCCCATGGTGCCTCTAGATCCCCAGTTAGCAGGAAGATTAACTTATTTATTGCTGCCTCACAGACTCACAGTTACGGTATCAACTGTGGAATTTATTAGGGAAGTGAGCAGAGGAGGCAAAGCTTTAGCCCAACAGTTCCCTCAGTAAGTCCAGGCTCTGGTTTCAGTTCAGCATTCAAATCCAAATTATACAGCAAGGTTTGTCTCAGAGCAGTTATATACCAGCTTCTTCTCCTTTAAACATCCAGCAAGAACAGCCAAATCTTTCACTTTGGCCAGCTCAAATGCAAAAAGCCTTAGGTAACACCTTGCCACAGTTTCTCCACAGCAGTGCCACAATTTCTTCACCAGGGTCTCGCTGTCACCAGGGTCTTGCCACCACAAGCCTTGCTCACCTCAAGTTTTGTTTGCCTCCAGTCTTGCTGCCCAATGTGGGAAGCACTTTCTCTTAGTCTAGTCTCACACCTGTTGATGATTTGGAAGAAATCTGGAGAACAGCCATCTGGCCAACTGACTGGAAGAGATTTATATTTATTCCCATTCCAAAGAAGGGTGACCCAGCAGAGTGTGGAAATTATTGAACAATATCATTAATATCGCATGCAAGGAAGATTCTGATGAAAATGATTCAAAAACGACTAGAACAGCACATCAACAAAGAACTGCCAGAAGTGCAGGCTGGGTTTAGAAGAGGCCGTGGTACTAGGGATGATATAGCTAATGTTATTTGGATCTTGGCAGAAAGCATAGAGTGCCAGAGGAATGTCTATCTGTGCTTCATTGACTTTGCAAAGGCTTTTGACTGTGTGGATCGCAACAAACTGTTTGACTCTGAGAAGAATGGGAATTCCAGAACATTTGATTGTGTTTATGCGAAACCTATACTTAAACCAAGAGGCTGTCATCAGAACAGAGCAAGGAGACACTACATGGTTCAGAATCTGGAAGGGTGTCCACCAGGGATGTATTCTGTCTCCATACCTTTTCAATTTGTATGCAGAACATACCATCTGGGACACCATGTTTGGGAGGGTGGAGGGACAGCACAAGAGAGGAAGACCCTCAATGAGCTGGATCGATTAAGTGATTGGGGTAATGGGAGTAGGTGTGTCAAAGACAATAAGATTGGCACAGATTTAGGGCTCTTGTACATAGGGTTGCTGTGACTCACATGTGACTCACCGGCACATAACAACAACAACAACAACAACAGCGTCTGCAGTTAAGGTAGTTGGAGACACAAGGTTAAATGGCTATAAAAGGTTAACTTTTAGGCCAAAACTACAGTGACCTAGTCGGAGATTTTTTAAAAAATAACTAAATTACTCTGGTGGCCTAGTGGCAAGGAGCTGCAACTACAATCCCAGAGGTTCGAATCCACCAGATGCTCTGCCGGGAAAGGAGGGACAATCTCCTCCTGTACCAGTCAGATCTGATTTGACGGTACACATGCACAAAAATAATAATAATAATAAAAAAATGAATAACTAAATGAAAGGACAGTTGAGAAAAAATGTTTTTAAATAAATGTTAATTTCCAAATAAGTGAGCAAGCAGTCTTCTGCTGAACAACGTGAGATATAGATATAAATATATAGATATAGATTGTTGCTATTATTTACCTTGAAGCTTAGTTATTATATTACCTCAATATCTTGACATTTTAATAAAAACCGTATTCTGATCAATATGGTAATTAATAATTGTCAATATGAAAAGTACTTAGAAGGGACCAACTGCCTAGCATGGTGAAACCTTAATAAGAAACCTGAGATTTTCTTTTACTATCCATTCCCTTTTATAGATAATATCTTAAATAGATTTTATGGAAAGTAAGATTTCAGTCTGAATTATAGTTAAATAAATTTGTCATGAACTATTTTGACAATATGAAAAAGCATATGAAAATGGGAGGTAATAAATTATTTAACTTATAAACTATTAGAAAAGTTTACTTTGAAGTCGTTAAGCAGCCCAATCCACAAAACTATGCCTTTCATAAAATGCTAATAAAAGGTTATGCTAGTCACTACTTCCTATGTTTGTCAGTGAAATAACTTCCTTCTAAAATTTGATGTGACTGTGAAACTGCCTATAAAAACTGACTTGTGTCAGTTGATATCCACTAAAAGTTAAGAATTTGAGAATGTTCTTAACCTGTGTGATTTATTGAACCTTCTTTAGGAACTTTAATAAAAAATATTTTGTGAAACCAATAGTTATCTTTGAAGATGAAAGTAAATATAAGTTCAGTATGGAAACAAACATGTAAGGTTGATTGTTTCTTGATTTGGATCAATAAATACTGAAACCATAAGTTAAAATTTTTAATGTATCATGTTAAACAATTTCTAAGATCTCAGTTTCAATTGCCATGTCTGTTAGTCCAAATGATAATGTAAGGGTGCTCTATTGTACATAGGGTTTTCGAAGGCCTGTAATTTCAGAAGTGGATGGCAAATCCTTCTTCCTAGTCTGTCTCAATTTTTAGATATATATATATAGTAGTATCTGACAGACAAGCATTCTACAGAAAAGAGTGAGTGAAAGACATTTACCAGTTAGAAAGACCAATATTCAATGTTGCTGCCCACCCAGCTAAATGTTTGGTTGGTTTTGGGTTTTTGTTTGTGTGGTTTTTTTTTAAATCCACCCTTTCCCTTCTCCACCACCAACCCCTCCTACTGTTGCTTACAACATTCAACACCCGTCTCCATTGACAGCCCCTGATGTGATGTCCTAAGTCTCAAGTAATCAGGATTCCTCTGACTGTATTAGGCTGCTATCAGTCTCTTATAATGTGATCAGTATGACTTCAATTTAAAGTTTTTAAGTACAACTCTCATGTACAGCTTCTTTTCCTGGAAGATCCTGGGGGAAAGGCCTCTTAAACATCCACTCCAGGATTGACTTCTTGTGGGTTAATACCACTTGTCTTCTGTTTGCAGCCTGGTGCTGATGCAAACGGATAGCTTCCCAGACAACAACAACATGTTAAACTACTGATCCTTTCATAATGGACTAGCTATAGAAAGGAAATATTTAAAGTCTTTAAACTCAATATAAATGTGATTTCGATAAAGGAATTGTGAAAGGAGCATATGCAATGTGGGAGAACCGGTCACCGAATCTTACTTCTCTCCTCTTCATAGAGGAGAGCCCTCCCCATCAGTAATATGCATAGCAGCAAACAAATAGCCACTCGGTCAGACACGCAACCACCCCCACCCCCCATGCCACCACAGTTCTTTCCATCAGCCATTGGATTTGACATTTGTTATTGACTTACATACTTTACTCACAATTGTGATACTGAGAGTGGGATTTATTAGGAAAGTAAGTTGGAGAGTGGTGTTGTTGATTGCCTTTGAGTCGCGCATGACTCATAGTGACCCTATGAACAAAAGGCTTGAAAGCTCTTCTACAACTGTCAGTATTTATCAAAGTTCATAAAGTGTCCAGAGGCATGTTATGAAGGAAGTGGATGCCACTTGCAAATAATAATCACCCCACCCAAAGCAAGTCCAAGTTTTAGCCCACAATTCCCAAGGCACAATATCTTAATTAGCCCAGGCTCTAGTTTCAGTTCAACAGTCAGCTTTTCCTTCCATCATTTGGCAAGAACAGCAAAACTTTTTAACTATGACCATTATCTCAGGGCTCCTCTGGTTATACCTTGCTACCGTTTGTTCACAGCAATGCCATAGTCTGTCTCTCCACCACTATCACCAAGGTTTCGTTTTAGTCTCCCTCAGGTCATGCTGCTCAGTGAGGGAAGCACTCTCTCTGTTTTCCTAGTCTCAAAGCTGTTGATAATTTACAAGACGATGTGTCTGCAGTTAACGTAGCTTGAGATCAGAGGGCGCTAACATAATGGCTTAGAAAAGCCAACTTTGAAGCTAACACCACAGGAATAAATTCCTAGGGTATAAAAATCAGTAATAAAAAATGACCAGCTTTATACAAACAGTACTTTATTTAAACCTGAATGTCAAAATACTTCACTGTTTTGTATTTTTACATTAATGGCCTTAGAAGACAAATCAATATATTAACTGGAATCCTTTGCTTAAAACTGTCTTGGAAAAATGTAAATTTGCTATAAAGCTAGTATTTATTTTTGGATTGTAAAGTCATTAGTGTTACCTGTACTTCTAGGTCTATAAACAAGAACAAGAAGAAGAACTAAAGAAAAAATTAGCAAATGATCCTAGATGGAAGCGGTACAGGAGATGGATGAAGAATGAGGGACCTGGACGGTTAACCTTTGTGGATGATTGACGATTACTAGACTTGTTACTGTGCCAAACTATAATTGTGATATTATTTTCATAATGGAGCTATTTTAGAACTGTTACCAGTTACTAAGCAGCAGGAACTAAAAGTCTTAAAGTTTTTGATTAAACAGAATAATGTAGAAATTTAAACTTTCCTTTAAAACCTTATACATAAGACATTTACGATTGTTCAATTTTTATAATCTCTTTGTGGGTTTTGTTAAAAGATTTGACATGAAGATTTATTCATTGCCATATAAAATTTTATATGCTTAGTTAAAAGAGTTCACACAAAAATTTATTAGATACATTTAAAATTTTTATGTGTTTAAGTATCTATTCTTCAAGACTCTTCTATTATTGTGATACATTTTTCTGTTTTTATGACTGAATGATATTTTCACAGACAACACAGAAATTACCACTGCATTTAACTACATTATGTGTCTTTCTGGACATACTCTTCAGCAGAATAAATATCATCTTCATTACAATCATTATAAGATTGAAATATGTTGAAAAAATCTCTCTGGGAGAGTTTTCTGCTGGAATATCTTTAATATATTCCTCCCTTTCTTCCATCATTATAATAGTCTTAATAAGATCAGAAACTCTCCAGGAGAGTAAGTTTACCAGCATGTCCTTGTAGGATGATCTTGATTACAGTCATTATAGGACTATAACTGTATCCTCAAACATTATCCAGAAGAGACCTTGTAAAACAGGTCTTTTAAACCATGATATTACCCCTCCTACCCTGCATTTATAAATTGACAGGGCAGAAATAGTGTACTAATAAGTTGTTCACTGTTATGAAGTCATTGAGTCGTGAAAAATCCAAATGTACGTGAAAGCATTTACATGCATTTAAACCAGAAAGAAGAGGTATTTGTCGTTATGCTGTTCTGGTCAATGAAATATAAATGTTTTTACATAGCTGGAAGTGCAGAGAGCCTCCACATTATTTGGCTCAAGCAAGCATGATGCTTGAAGGATTGCTACATGGCATAAGAATGCATTTGTGGTAGTGTATCAGTACGCCTGGTTAAAGGATTCATTCCATTGCTTTATATTAATAAAATGATTGTATTGTAGCACAAGTTTGTTGGTATGACATCTTAAAGGAAATATTAACATACTACCTTCCAAAGATTAGCATCATAGAAAGGCAGAGAGCACTGGTGTCCTAGTGACAAGTAGCTGTGCTGCAATCCCGAAGGCATGTGCTTTAAAACCGCAAGCTACTCTGTGGGAGAAGACTGGGCAGCCTCCCCCTGTGTGATTAACTGCCACTGAAAATCCATCAGAGGGCTGAGGGTCAGCTTTAGGTCAGTTCTGACTTGATGATACACAACAACACAATGATCATAGACACATTTTTTCATAGTAAAAACAAGTGTGTTTCCTTGCAAACTGCACACCCACATATATAATGTACACAGTGTGCCTAGGAAAATAATGTATGTGGCTTATGTGGTTAGGATTAGGGTTAGGGTTATACAAAATAATGTATGTGGCTTATGTGGTTAGCAAAAAGGTGTAATACCTGCATTTTTTGTTTAAAAATAATTGCATACTTTTCAAGAGTTCAGCCCTAAAACTTAAAGTATACAAAAAGACAGCATTCTGCTTTTCTAATACAAAGCCAAAGATCTGAGGGAACTTGTTAAGTCTGTAAATGAGGACCTGGGAAGGAGTTTGATAAATTAGTACAGCCATTCTGTAGCTCAAAACTTCTAAATTGATCAGTTTATATTTTTGTAAACTTTAGATGAAGTTGTCTTATGTATCTTTATTTTAACAGAGATAGGCATATTATAAGCTAAAATATAAACAATTGTGTTCTTAATTTAAATATCTCTTACCATAGATAAATGTCTTTCAAAGCAGCTGTTATTGTCTGTAGAGTGAATAATCCCTGTTTTCAGAATGCATTATCATTAATTCACATAGGATAGATGTCATCCAAGAATATATGGCCAAATGTAAAGAGGACTAAAAAAAAAAGTAGGAACTTCCTTTGCCGTTAAAATGTCAAGATTTTTATTTGACATTTTTTTATCAGGTGATAAGTATAACAGGGCCATATAGGAAATATAATTGATATATTAGGATTCATAAAATTTGGCTGATGAACATATCTTTGAAATTGTGTGTGTATATCTGCTAGATTGCTTTATTTCTGTATGTCTTTCTAGAAATATGATTTCTGGAATTTTTCCCCAGCCACCTCAGCTAACTTGGTAAAAATTGAGTTGGCCTTTCCCCTCATTTCCCTCAACAAAATATACTTCAGAATCTTGGCACTAAGGGCCTGAGTCATCACAAGTACCATTCAAGCAGTTTGATTATTTTTCTGTGTCCATATTCTGTCTAGAAGCCTCTCTGTTTTAGAAATATCTGGAGAGGAATCTTGTGTATGGGAGCCTACAATCCTACTAAAAGTTTTTCTTACACTCTGCTTTTTTCTTTCTTGATTGATTATCATAATTTTTTGCTTAGCTCTGGTGGCCTAGTGGTAAGGAGTTGTGCTGCCAACTCAAAGGCAGGCAGTTTGAATCCAAGAGCAGAGAAAGATGAGCAGTCTCCTGTGCAATTTGTAGCCTCTAAAAACCCGTTAGAGAGTCAGCGGTTAGTCAGTTCCAACTTGATGGCATTTAACCACAGTTGTCAGAAATGTATTGTGCTAACTGCTCATTGGTACTTATTATAATGCTCATCCTAAGTTTCTGCTTCAGTTACGTGTGGGTGTGTAATGTGAGTTCCTTCCCACAAGCTTTATGAAAGTTCTCATGCCCAACTCTTTTCCTCATTGGTCTTTGTGAATTCTTAAATAGCTTATTTCCTTTGAGATTTTTTTTCTAAGCTGACATTCAGCTAGTGTTAGGAACTGAGCTGCTTGGTCCCAAAATGAAATTTAGGTAGAAATCAAAATTTTTTTCCATACATTAGTATAAAAGGAATATAGTAATTTATCTTAAATCCAGTATGATCTCTGTTAAATTATTATTTTTGCATTTGGGACATAAAAACATTATTTTTGACACAGACTCGTTGATAAGAACAAAAAATCTTTCTTGATTTAAATCTTCCCATTTAAATATGGGCCAGGGACAACTCTAGATCCTATCAAGGAGGTAAAATTTGATAGGCAAATTATTTAACTTGTTTCCTCAGAAATGAGAGTATCTTTATACATAGTATTCTTCTGAATTCTGTTATATAAGGCTGAGAATGCATTTCAATTTAGGGGCTGAAGTACATTAAATTTCCTACAATTGAGAAATACAGATGTTTAAAAAGTCTACTTAATTAGCGGTAATTTTAATCCACTTAATTCTTACAAGATTCAGATTATCTTTGACAATAGCATATGGAATAGATCATATAATCTCAGTTCGGGGTCAGACAGAGTTTCTTACAGAACTACTACACCCTAGTTTCATGAAATGGAGAAACCTTCCCATTCAACCATCCATTTAATAATATCTAGACGAGAGGATGTAGCAAAGTAGCTTAAGCTTTGCGGTTAGGTAGACCAAAATTGTGGTTAACAGCTTGATGTTGGGCTGATTAACCCCTAAGCGGAATTATAACATGATTATTCTGAGACTGAAACAAGAAAGCAAGGCTCAGGGAGTTCCCTAGTCTTAAGAGTGTGAGCGCTGGCTGCATAGGGGTTAAAGAATTTGGTTGCCAACTGTACAGTTGGGGATTTGAATCCACAGGAGAAAGATCTGAAAGCATGCTTCCAGAAAGATTTATATCCTTGGGAGCCCTATGCACAGTTCCAGTCTGCTCTTGGCCTCAGTACCCACTTGATAACCGCTGCAGTTGACCACTTGATGGCTCCTTAGATTTTGATATCCTGATGGCCTTAGACAACTACTGTCACTTCCTGACACACAGGAGCCCATAGCTGTATTGTCACCTTGTCAATCCACCTGGTTGAGGGTCTTCCTCTTCTTCACGACTATCCACCCTTCCCAACATCGTGTCCTTCCCCAAGGAATAGCACCTCCTAGCAATACGTTCAAAGTATGTGCAGTGAAGCCTCATCATTCTTGCCCCCAAAGATCACTCTTGGCTGCACCCTCTTCAAGACATATCTATCCATTTTCTTGGCCGTCCGTGGGATGGATGTTCAGTGCTGTTCTCCAATACCACAGCTCAAAGGCATCAGTTTTTTTCTGCCATCTTTATTCATTGTCCAGGTCTGAGATGCATAGCTAGCAATCGGAGAAACCATGGCCTGAATCAAACTGACATCACGACTAAATAATTGGAAAGGTCCCTAACTACAGACTTTCCCCCATGCAATGTATATCTCCTTATTTCCTGACTACTCGTACCAAGGCTGTTAAGTTAATTGTGGATCCAAGCAAGATGAAGCTGTTGACAGTTTCAGCATCCTCTCCATCCATCATGACACTGCTTATTGATCCAGTGGTAACAATCTTTGTTTTCTTGATACTGAGACGTATTCCATACTGAAGGCTGCATTCCTCCGTCTTCTGCAACAAGTGCTTCAAATCCTCCTCACTTTCAGCAAGTTAAGGTTGTGACATCTGCATAACGCAGGTAATTAATGAGTCTCTCTCCAATCCTGATGCCAGCTTCTTGGATAATTTGCTCAGCATATAGATTGAAAAGATAAGAAGATAGAATACATCCCTGACACACTCCTTTCCCAGTTCCAAGCTATGCAGTGCTCATCTGCTGTTTGCACAATAGCCTCCTGCTCCAGGTATCATGACAAATTGTGGCTGACATTGAGGAGAATGGGAAATCCAGAGCACTTGATTGTGCTCATGAGAAACTTATACCATGTACTTGACTGCCTCTGAAAACCTGCTGGAGGGTCAGTCCCTATTCAAATGATACATAACAACCACTAAGGATTTAAATAAGTATGGGAGCTCTGGGGGCCTCAGGTTAAGAAGCTGTGCTGCAATCCCCAAAATACACAGTTTGGAGGGAGCATTGGTGGACTAGTGGCAACAAGCGGCACTGTAATCCCAGAGGTACGTGGTTTGAACCCACCAGATGCTCTGCTATTGAAGGGACAATCTCCTCCTGTACCAGTCAGATTCGATATGATGGTATACACACATTTTTTTTTAAAGACACAGTTTGAATCCACTGTAGGAGAAGGATGGGCACTCCTGTTGAAATAACTCCTTTTGTTAGTTCCTGGAATCTTATTTCTGGCTGACATCCCTCCACACATTGCTCAGGGACAAGATGGATGATGAGATCGCAAGTGTCTAAATTTGACCCTAAATCGCCACTAGGCTATTTACTTCTAATTGACATGAAGT